TCAATCTCGTTAACGGCAAGTCTCTTTACTCGTTCTGTGATACATCATCTCATAATTAACTCTTTAGTCATTTCCTTGCAAGCTTATTATGATATGTATTACCGATAGGCCCAGAGATACCTCTCTGATACTTGGAGTGACAAATCCCAATCTCGATCATGCCAACTCAACAAACACCTTCGGAGATAACTGTAGAGCATCTTTATCATCACCCAGTTACGTTGTGACGTTTGATAGCACACAAGGCATTTCTCCGGTATTTGGGAGTTGCATGATCTCATGGTCAAAGGAACATATGTATTTGACATTCGAGAAAGTAGTAGCAATAAACTAAACGATCATATGCTAAGCTAACGGATGGGTCTTGTCCATCACATCATTCTCCCAATGATGTGATCCCATTATCAAATGACAACACATGTCCATGGTTAGGAAATCTTAACCATCTTTGATCAACAAGCTAGTCTAGTAGAGGCTCACTAGGGACACAATATTTGTTTATGTATTCATACATGTATTTAATTTTCTGATCAAATACAATTCTAGCAAGAATAATAAACATCTATCATGAATAAGAAAATATAAAATAACAACTTTATTATTGTCTCTAGGACATATTTCCTTCACTATCTACCGCCACAAATGCATGCCACCAATGGTTATCCTTTAGAACATCAAGAAGGATGCGGCCCTGTGGCTGGCCGGAGGGGCAAAGAAGTTGGGTTTAATCATGCCCCGAGAGTAGTTGCTCTATGTACCTAGGGGTGCCGTAACACAAACAAACTCTTTCCTCCTCTTATTATGAGGCAAATCTTTTGCCTTTGTTTTAAAAAAAAAGAAATATACCATCCTATGACTAGGAGTCTAGGAGAAATCCAAAAGAATATGGTTTCGTCGAGTTCTCACCATCAATGAACCAACTGAAGCATTGGAGAAGATGATGAGGTAAAACATGGATCATTGCATCCACTGATGTAGCACAAATGAAGTTCTTGCATGATAATAAGCGGCGCTCAGTTCAGTTCTTTTCCTTTAGAGCATCTCTAGCAGACCCTTTAAAGCCGCGAGCTTCATACCACGGATAAGGGCCGAGAAAGCCGCGGTTTGAGGGGCGAAATCGGCTGCGGCCGAGCAGAGCCCTGAATTGAAACCGTAAAATTAATGCTTTCCCGGGGGAAATGAAGAACACAATGCTACATAGGTAGTTTGTTCACCGATACATTGCAAAGGTATTTTACATCGTGTTGCCTCCCTACCCTAGAACTAGCCAAAAATGGAGCTCACAGAGCTCACTCCTCGTTGTTGTCGTCGGAGACAAGATCGATGTAGATCTTGTCTTGCTCCTTAGCTTCGTGGCGCCATCCCGCCTGCTTGACGTCGAAATCGCGCGGGGTGGCGAGCGCCTGCTTGTAGAGGAGCACATTGATCACCTCGTCCCGCTGGCAATGCGCCTCCTCCTCCTTGTGCTCACGCACAGTGTGCTTGGCAAGCGACACTTCGAAGGCATCCGCCTCGGGCCCGACGAGATAGTCCTTTAGGCCACCGATGCCGCGGCCGCACGGGCGCTCATTGCCCGGCTCCATCTTCACAATGCAGAGCGATGGCGCCTCCTCCCCCGACCCTCTCTTGAAGGCGCGGAGCAGCGGAAGCTCACCGGGCTCCCTCTTCACCGGAAGCGGCGGTGCACCCGAAGAGCTCCCCGCGTCAAAGTGTCGCGCATGGCGGCAGTCGTACTCCTCATCTCGCGGCGAAGGAGGGATGCCGACACCTCAAGCCTGCAGTTGGTGTACCGTCGGGCCGAGCGTTTCCGCGTCGCGTTGGCAGCGACGCTATGCTTGCGCTCTGGGTCTTCGTCGCCGCCGCCGCCACCTCCAGGAAAAGCACCTCCGCGGCCGCTGGACCACATCCCACGCCACATCCTGGCTCGGCGGTGGTGGATCTGGCGGCGGCACGGCAAAATCATCACGGATTCGATGATGGCGGCGAGAAATAGCGGTGGAATTTCACGAGTCGCAGCGACGGGGGAAAGGGTTGTGGCCTGTATCGCACCCGCGGAACGGTAAAAGTAGCATTCTGGCGGTTGGATTTCAGGGGCAATGTAAAAAAAAATATGGGTTAGGGTCCGATAGGGAGTCTGATCGGGGCGTTTTTTGCTCGCGGAACTGTAAAACCGCGAGAATTTTAAGGATCGGCGTGTTATAAGGGGTCTGTTAGAGATGCTCTTAGCTAATATAATTTCGGCACATATAATTGTTTCAGCTCCTTGATGAAAGGAATACATGGTGTAACCATACAAACAAGAGATGATCTACGGTGCTAAATATTGTAAATTCTTTTGACCACTAGACGAAGTAGATGATTTCTTTTCATATCACCATTACCTGTAGAGCTTGATTCTGTTTTATTTTTAATCAAGAAAAGTATACTTTCCATCCATCAAATCTTGGCTCAGTCTAGATTCGGTCCCTCAACTTTGAAACTGGACAACTTGCAGCCCCTAATATTCAAACTGGACAAGGTTCATCCATGGTCTCGGTTTTGACCGGTTTTGGTGTTGGCTCCCCCAGTTTTGACCCGTGCTGACTCAAATTCGCGTATTTTTTTTCAAACCCGTGAACTTTTTTGAAATTCCGTTTATTTTTCCAAATACGCATACTTTATTAAAACCGCTTATTTTTTCAGATCCATGAACTTATTCGAAATTCGCGTACTATTTTCAAGTTCATCTAATTGTTTCAAATTTGCATACTGTTTCAAATCCCAGAACTCTTTTAAAATTTGTGTCTTATTTACAATCCACGTACTTTTCCAAGTTCACGTATTTTTTTTCAAATTCCTGTATTGTTTGACGAACCACATACATTATAATTTTTATAATTCACATACTGTTCACATGCTGTTTGAGTATTATTGCATAATTTTTATAATTTACGCGTTTTTATGAAACCACGTACATTTTTCAAGTTCGCGTACTTTTTTTTCGAGTTTACGTACTTTTTCTAAACCGATGGTTTTTTTCCAAAAAAAACTACGCGGATTTGGACAAAGTATGTGAATTTGAAAAAATTACGCGAACTTGAAAAAAGTACACGGATTTGAAAAGTACATGAATTTGAGTCAGCATTGTCAGAACTAGGGTGAGTCAACACCAAAACCGGTCAAAATCAAGTCTGGGGATGAAGCTTGTCTGGTTTCAGTAGTTGGGGTGCAAGTTGTCTAGTTTTAAAGTTGAAGGACCTAATCTAGACTACGTCAAGAGTTGAAGGACGGAGAGTATACTTTTCTCTTTTAATATTTATCGGAAGCAAAAGAAACGGAACCAGAAAACCATTCGTGGGCCGGCTGCCGGCCCACCGTGCATTTTGGGGCATTCCCTTTCGCTGTGCCCACTCTATCTGACTTCCCGTGCTCGGTGCTCCTCACCGCCGTTCGGCGCACGGACGCCGTCGGCCATTGGGCATGCCGCTGACCTCCAGCGGCGCGCACTCGGCCTCCACCTCCACCAGCGGTGGAACCGCTCTGGCTCACCTGGTACTTCCCATAAAAAGAAATCAACCGGGACCTGTTCCAGCTTGGTTTCAACCTGAGCCCCGTTTCAATCTGATGCCATACACTGTCTCGCTGTTCATTCTTTACTCATTTGGCGTCCGCCGTTTCCTAGGTTTACCGACGATGCCGAACAGGGGAAGGAAAGCGCCTCCCAATGCCACGCGCGGTTCCGATCTGCTGGTAAATCCAAGCTCTGTTTTCTCCCCCTGCTCTAAATTTCTAGTTTGGACCAAGATTTGTCACATTGTCTCGAATTTAACCTAAAACTTATATCTTAGGAAGAATGTACATGAACATTGACCAATGCAAGAGTACTGCTTGTTGGCTTATAGTCCAAGTGTTTTTTTTATGCCTGTTATTTCAACATTGAACATTGATTAGTACTATAACAATTAATCGCCCATTTATTTGTATTATTCTTTTCTCAGTGTATTGAATCTACATTTTCCCCCCGATAAGGATATTGAATCTACTTATGTGGTCTATCTTTCAAAAACTTTGGAGTTTTTTATATGCCCTTCCTTTTCATCCTTAGATTCTTAGTGCGGTTTTTGGCCATTGCTGTTGATGTTGCTAGTACCACTGCCACAATTGCTCATTATGTGAATTTAGATGATCATGTGAGGATGCTCGATTACCCATTTGACAGGTACATGCTGCTGCAAAAGGGCTATCTAAAGCATGATTGTTCTTTCCTCCGCCTCTGGTCTTTCCTACCATTTTTTTTGAAGGTCCTTTCCTTTCCTACCATATGGTACCCAAGATTATAGATTATGCTACTGTCCAAATGCTGAATCCAGTACTCGCTAATTTGCCTACTTTGCTTCATTGTCCATAATTTTTACTCATCATCTTTTTAATGTTTTCCTTATCTTCCTTCAATCTTATGGAATCTGCAAAAGGATTTGTAGATCTCTTGCAAGCTGACTTACACAAAGATATTTGATGGCTATTTGAACTTTGAAGTGCCCCCTCCTACAGCGGCATTCTAAATATATTGTAGTGCACGGTACAAACTGAGACAAAATAACTTAAAATATTCATATTTTCACATATATTTATATATTAATCTTTACCCTCTAATCTTTTCTTTTCCAAAATTCTACGCAAAAAAGTGTGACCCCCACCCCCAAAAAGCATTTTTTCAGTTGGCATTAAGGAATGCTGCCTTGCCAAATTGCCAGTCTTTAATTACTGAAAACAACATTCTCATTCAGTGATCAGACCTGTTATGCGCCAACTACTGCAGCGAAGTTTCCAGAGAACCATAGTGCAGATATAACTAAGTATATACAAAATGTTGGAACTGGTCGGTCCGGAGTCCAAGTTGGTGCCACAGTTCAAACTGCAGCATCCATGGAAGTGCAGACATGCATGTTTACAAGAGTGTCGATCAGCGGCATGAAATGCAATTACATGAATGATAATCTGCCAAGAAAACTGTTGACATGTCAGTCAGCTGCAGAAACCATCTCGGAGTACCTTTCTAGCATCATATGCTTTGACAGGTCAGTGAAATAGCCCTTTTCAACTTCAAGCCCTTGCTCCTCTGCAATCTGCTCCACCAGCCATTGAACCCGATCGGCGCCGACGTGGTCTGGATCCAGCAAAAAACATGCGATCTCCGTGCAATTGTCGCCATGGAAAAGTGCAAGTGCCTGTACTGACGGGAGCCCTCCGCTCCGTCCAGTCACCCTCCGGGTGATTCTTCTCACGGTTGGGACATCCTTGCAGAATATCGGCACATTGTAGCTCTCGACCAAAGGTTGAGCTCCGACCATGGTGGCGCCTCTTTCACGAGGAACGTGAACTGGGCCCACATCTGGCTTCATCGGTAGAGTATCAGGGAGCACCGGGCCTGCCCATTGGACGCCCTTGTGGTTTGGCCGGAAGTAGCCGAGCTCACGCCGGACTGCACTGACGCTCTTGCTGGTGGGGTGTGCTGCCGCATATAGGAACACTGGAACTGCATACATAATCAAAACATTTACATAGCGTATCATCATTTGCTAATTATAGAAGATCTTGTCGGAGGACACACCTTGCAAGCCATTGCCAATGTCAGAGGCTACCAGCTTAGCCAGCTGAGCAGCATCCTCTATTGTGTCCGCTTGATTCAAGGGGTGGAATGAAATGTCATCGACGACACCAATCCTTGGATGAGTTCCACAGTGCACTTCGAGGTTTATGGCTGAAAATGCAGCCTCGATCATCGCCAGCAGTACCTTCCTGATTGGGCTAAATACAGCTCCACCAGTCGAGCTTTCGTTGGTGATGTAGGAGACAAGCGTGTAGCGGACACGGTTGTAGTACTCATCCTCGAACTTGTTGAGTAGAACCACCTCAGGGTCTTTCTGGCCTATGCGGCTGATGGCATCGACAACAGCCGCATTTTGGCTTTCAGAGATGTAGAGCTTGCAACAGATCACCTTCGAGTGCATGGTGCTGAGCTTCGCCTTCACGTTTGCCTTTGGAGCAGATGAACAAGGTATGAATTCAGGTGAGGATAAACTGAAATTTCATTTTATTTATTTTTTGCTTCGAAATGGTACTGGGTGGCTTAATTCATAGTAGTATCTAGTACATGTGTCTGAATATCTGATTACATAATCGACCCAGAGACAGCAGAAATCAACTAGTTTTATCATCTGTATGAGAATCTCACCGCAAGAAACAGAAATTAGAAGTTCATATATGGCTGAATAACTCAGTTCTCTCGCAGTCTGTCTGTTCTACTAGATTGTATCTAAACTCAAAATCCTGGTTCAAATCTTGAGGAACTGGAGGGGCTGGGTACCAAAACATACCTGGTCGGTGTGCTTGCTCTCCATGCCTTCGGCTCCCCTCTCCCTCTCTCTCTCTCTCTTGTGGGGAATGGAATGGAGTGGTAGAGCAACGCCTTCTTCTTATGGTTATATGGATCAAAAAGTTGCTTTCAAGGAACCTTTTTGTTCCGAGTAAGCCCCAACCATGGAAGGACGGAGCATGTGCTCTTCAGCTTTATGACTCAGCGGTCCCCTACATCTACATATACTTGCATAGTTATCTTTGCTTGTCCCCCAGCTGCATGCCACCGAGCTCTGGGAAACATTATTCTTATGCACATGGTAACATGTGATTGCCCTCTTAAACCGCATCACCTGTTGAATCCCTTGGATTCATTATGCATAATCAATCTTATCTCTTACTCTTTGCCGTGGACCTAATTTCATTACTTGTGGATAATGAAATCTTGTGTGTGTACCCCCATCCATCTAGGTGGCCGGTGCAATGTCATTGTCCACCTCAGAAGCACACGGTTTCGTCGAAAACCGTCACTGGAAGGGACGGGAATTAATGGGATGACAGCTCTCTGCATCTCGAAATTATACATTTTGCCAAAGATAAATGTCGTGTGACGGTCATGCCGATTATTTGCTGCTTTTGTGCATTGGCAATTAATTAACTCCCTGAAGACGTATATACTCCCTCAATTCCTAAATATAAGTCTTTTTAGAGATTCCATCATAGACTACATACAGAGAAAAATGAGTGAACGTATACTCTAAAAGACGTCTATATACATCTGAATGTAGTATCTATAGTGAAATCTCTAAAAAGAGACTTATATTTAGGAACTGAGGGAGTATAACTGAGTGTATGCTCATGGCCGTCCTCCTAAAGCCGGATTGCTTCACTTATAGTCGAATTGCCTCTCTTGCAGGTTGCATTCTGTGTACCACTATCGATTTGTAGGGCTCTCACGTCTTGGGAAGAGCAGTTTGGAGGGCTCTGATCAGCGGCAAATTTGACAAATTTGACCTATAGACGCAATTAAATCACAGAATGAACTGTCCGTAAAACTATTTCACGCGACTGACCTGTGGCGCTTAGCTCTCAGGCGCTGCACTAGTGCAACGCCTGGGAGTTAGGCGCTGCACTAGTGCAACGCCTAGGAGCTAGGCGCTGCACTGTATAGTGTGGCGCCTAGCTCTCAGACGCTGCACACGACTTAGTAATTTTCTGATCACACATGTGCGACGCTGGCCGTGTAGCGCCTATTTGTGAGGCGTTGCACAGTGTAGTGTGGCGCCTTCGTGGCGGGCGTCACACAAAAAGGTCAGCCGCGTGAAATAGTTTCACGGATAGTTCATTATATGATTTGATTCCGTCTAAAGGTCAAATTTGTTAAATTTGCCCTGATCAGCGGCGAGGACCGGGACAAAGGGGGATGGATCGCCGTGGGCAATGTGATGGGGAACGGGACAAAGACCTGACCTGTATCGATGGGTACACTGCTCTCTGGATAGGACTGTGCAGCCGTACGTGGCGATCACGTGCATCTTGGAAAAGCATTTGTGATCTGAAATGAGCCGTCCTTTTCCACGTCGATATGCTCATGTGGTCATCTGCGCTGCCGCTGATTTTTCTTTTCGGTTACTAGAGCTCGTTCATGATGATTGGATTGGATTCATGTAGGCTTCAAATCGGCCATGTGAACTGAGCTGACTTGTATTCTGTCAGACTGGTGTGGCAAATGCTATACAGCTCCTAAATATAAGTTTTTAAAAAAAAATCAGTACGGACTACGTATGGATATATATGGACGTATTTTAGGGTGTACGCTCATTTTGCTTCATATGTAGTTCATATTGGAATCTCTAAAAAAGACTTGTACAATACTTAGGAACGGAGGGGGTACAAAATGGCAACGGTCACTTTTGGTAGTGTCTTGCTGATGTGGATAAATAAGTTATCAGTTTTGCTAAAGTACATCTAGATGTGTCATAAGTATTGCATATCTAAGTCCTATGACATTGATCTTACAATTTGAATGATTCGGATCCCACAAGCCATCCAACGGCGCCCCGCATCGGTCCGTGGATCAGTCTGAGTGTCCATTTTCCCGCAAGCCAGGGGCTTTATGAGGGTTCGGACGCCGCACTGTTCCCGTGGCAAAATCCTCCTTTCTCAACCGTCTCCTCTACCATCCCATCTCTCTCCACCCAAATTCCTGCCCTTTTTCAACAGTGACGACGGCGCCACATGGACCCTTATGAAAATCCGACAGAGAGGGCGGCAGCGATGGATCCGACCATCGCAGCCGGTCGAAAGATCGACTCGATGACATGGCAAAACCGTTGCCTCAAAGCAAAGGCAAAGGTGGCACTGCTCAAAGCAGAAGAGTGGCGAGGGTGGTGACGTGTAAGGCCGAGAGGTTTAACATCTTTATGGTGGCGACCGAGAAGAAGCTTAAGCTTGAAGAGAAGAAGGTCAAGCTTGAAGACAAGAAGATTGAGATCGCAACCGTTTCGGATTTAGAGATGTTGGCCTTAAAGATGGAGAATATGGATGGCGATGCAAGGATGATCGTGCAAATCCGACCATCTTAGGATGTTGAAGTGCTCGAAGAATCAGCTGGAAACGACGAAGAAGGAGGCAACTGTCGGTGTCAAAACCGGCGGATCTCGGGTAGGGGCTCCCGAACTGTGCGTCTAAGGCTAATGGTAACAGGAGACGGGGGACACAATGTTTACCCAGGTTCGGGCCCTCTTGATGGAGGTAATACCCTAATTCTTCTGTGGGGGGTTTGCATGTAATTCGTGAGGTCTGAAATATAAAGTACCCTAGCATATGCTCCGAGCCGTGCATGCACTACGACCCAGATGCTCTATGTCCCACATGTCGGCGAAAGGGAGCACGTGGAAATAGCCTAGGAGTACATATAGGAGGATAAATGCGTGAAAAAATATGTACTGTGAAGCGTAGCTGCGATTCAAAAAGGAGACCTAAAGTGATGACAACTATAGGTCGCACGCACCCAACTAGTGGTACTAGACATACGACTATTTTTCCCTCAAAAAAAGAGGTACAAGTGCTCACTACTCCTATTCTATCAACACGAGTCCCATCTGACAACAGCGTCCGTGCTATAGCTAGCTCTTCTCCTTCGTTTCTCTCTTCTAATTCTAAACTCGGCCGACGCCCGGTGGGCGGGCTGGGGATTTGCCGATGGTCGGTTTGCTCAACTGCGGCCCCACCTCACAGTGGAAACGTTACGACTGGAATAAAAATGCCATATACTCCCTCCGTTCCTAAATATAAGCCTTTTTAGATACTATTTCAAATGGAATACAACATATGGATGTATGTAGACATACTTTAGAGTGTAGATTCACTCATTTTTCTTCGTATGTAGTCACTTGCTGTAATCTCTAGAAAGGCTTATATTTGGGAACGGAGGGAGTACTATACTAATAAAATATTAAGGCCACAAGGCGATGCAGTGCTGGTTACAGGAGGCAAGAATAAGAGATGCATCCATCGACAACGTCCACCTCCTCGACTCAGGGCGCCGGCCCACCGAATGGCGGCTAAGTAGCTTTCGTGGCCAGGTCAACGTGCTTCTGAACAATGTCGTTCAAAGATCCAACCGCTAGAAGAAGTCCAACATCTTTCTGTCCTCGCTTGCCTTGTAGTGGCCTATGTAGACGATTTCCTTGTAGACGTGGATGTGCAGGTCGACGGTTTCTTGCATGGCGAGGCGCTGCGCGTTGAGCGCGGCCTCGAGGTGCACATTCTTCGTCACGACCTCCGGCACCTGCAGGGCCACCAGGGCTTGAAAGAGTTCGTCACCATGGAGGCCGATGAGGGTGGCAGGCAATGGGGATCCTGGGCGCACGGGCTGGAGCAGTACGTCAAGGTCGTCCACGCGCTTCTTGATGGCGGTGAACTTGCGGATGGAGTTGACCATTATGTAGTCCATGCGAGAGGCGAAGCCGGCGTCAGCGAGGGCTACAATGCCCGGGGTCGCCAGCACCATCTGGAAACGCTGCACGGTGCGGGGCCGCAGGCCGGCGCCTTGGATGATTTGGCACAACTGACTGCCGCTCGCGTCCATCGCCTCCATAGGTGCTTGTGGCTTCTGGTCACTTGGTCTTGGATAGGAGTGAGCAGTGTTGCGCAGAGACTAGGAGCAGATGGTTGGAGTGGTGGGGCGCCTTTATATGAGAGTCTAAACTCTGTTGCATTCACATCGTGCTGGCTCTATTCTGGTTCTCCAATTAATTCCCTTTGCATGTAATTGAGGATGCATCATTGACCGTTCAACGTCTCGGGAACCGCTACCCTCTCCCTCCTTGGCATTCAAGCACCTATGGAGGCTACTGCCGCTCGCGTCTATCGCGTGTCAGAAGACGTTCCCGTGGACGACGAGGTGCCTATGGAGACTTCATAAATTTGAAGATGATAGTGCCGGCTCAGTCTTTCGGAGGGGCTCATAGGGGTAGGGTGTGCGTGTGTGCATTCATAGGGGTGAGTGTATGCGCGTGTATATGAGCGCTTGCGTCTGTACTGTGTTAAAAAAACGTAAATGTGTGTCAAAAAGAGACTAGTCAGTATATTCAATATTGTGCACCGTAACCAAGGCGGACAAGAAAACGAGAGAACTACGTATTTATTTACAGTGCAGATTCACTCATTTTGCTCCATATGTACTCTGTCTCGGTGTAGTCTAGTCACTTGTTGAAATCTCTAGAAAGGCAAATACTCCTTTCTGGTTTACATAGAAATTTTGTCTCATGCAAGAGCCTGGCTATATGCGTGCTCCAAGGTTCGCAACTGCCATGTTCGGGTTGCGCTTGGCTCTTCGCCTCTTCGAGAAGACAAACAATGATGTTACTACTACTGCTTCTACAGTATCAATCCACTGCTGCATGTCCGTCCAGCGCGAGCGGGAGGGATAGCTTGTTGTAGTACTATAAGCAAAAGCCTGTCCTCGTTTGCGAGCCACCGTGTGCATGGGCGAGGGAGAAGGCGTGTAGTAGTAAAATCAAGCTTCTCCTCGTTGTAC